TGGGAGACAGTGTCAAAGGCATTGCTGAAGTCTAAGTAGACTACGTCAACAGTCTTTCTGCATCTGCAGGATGTTTCTTCTCACCACTTCCAAGTAGAGACTAGCAACAAGTTTATTCTGTCTACTTGCAAGAGTTTGGCCACTTTTGCAGCCTTGGAGTCTGGAAGGATCAGATCCAGGATGTTAGACAGTGCAGAGAAACACACAGATGCTGGGCTGGGCACAGACAGACAGAAGGATCTGTCTGGAGGCATCCACAAAACTGCCCCATTCCCACATCAGTCAGCTGGGGAAAGGATGTATTTGTCAAGACAATTGGCTTGTCTCTGGTTGGCTCAGCTTTACAAGTCCCTCTAAGGTAATATCCTACAGGCCTCTAGATGTGAAGTTTCCAGATCTCCAAAGGAGAGAGATGTTCTCTTCTATTTAATGATTACAACAAACTTTATCTGTTATAAAAATATGCCTTAAAAGCAATTAACCAAAAATAAAGAAAAATATGTCATGCTATCTTACTTCTTATCCAGCTAGATAGCATCTGAGATTCATAACAAAAAGTACACACTCAGGTTACTGGATGCTAATGAGTAATTTAAACAAACAAACAAAAACAGAGTAACAAATCCAAACCTCTGAGGATTTAAAGAAGCATTTTTAAAAACTACTTTTTACATTAGTGGAAAAGCCATAACATATACCATAAGAGAAATGCTGAGGTACTGGAACAGATCATGGAATCATTAAAGTAGGACAAGACCTCTAAGATTATCTATTCCAACTATTAGCCCACCCCCACCATGCCCACTAACCACATCCCTCAGTGCTACATCTCCATGGCTCTTGAACACCTCCAGGGATGGTGACTCCGCCACTCCCTGGGCAGCCCGTTTCACTGCCTCACCACCTCCTGAGAAGAATTTTTTCCTAATACCCAACCTGAAATCCCGTGATGAAACTTTAGGCTGTTACCTCTCATCCTAAAAGTATGGCTGTTGTACTCATCTCAACTCCCTGGCACACCTCTCTGCCATTCAGAAGGGGAGGCATTTCTGTGTGTGACCTTATGAACGTAAAAGAGTGTGAAGGTCAGGAATTAAAATTCTTGCCCTGGTTGAAAGCACCTCAAGAACTATTTGACTGACATGTAACATTTATATTATTTGCTTATCTCTCGGCAGAAAGGTGATCTACCTACCAAGAAAACAGCCTTCCCAAAGGAGAAATATTTAAAATATAAACTATGAAGGTCAGATATTTAAAAAAAAATGTCACAGGAATACCCAGAAAACAAAATAAAACACAGCAGACAAAACTTTTACACTTCCATCTTCAGTTTATGCTAGAGCCCAATGAGATTTTCTCAGCCTACTGAAGCACACAGATGTTGTTAAACACAAAAATAATACTCTCGCACCCATATACAGCACAGCCCTGATGTGTTCAGGCCCACCTGCATGGCTACAGCCTGAAGACTTGCAAAGAGAACACGGAGCATGGAGCCACATGCTGCCAACACAGTGGTGCTGTCTTTTGTCACTGAACACCTTGGACAGTGCCAAATGCCATGAAACCAACGAGGAGCACTCAACTTCAGTAGCTCCAAGTGAAGTTATGTCCACATTGCAATTGCTGCTCATTCTTCAGACCTCTCCCAGTAGTGATAGTCAGAAGTGGAAAAAGGATTCTGTTGTTGCCCAGTAAGCCTCACAGGTCTTGCAGCTGGGGTTGGGATCACAGTAAATTTCAAGCTGTGAGGGATCTGGAGCACAAGTCTTATGGGGAGCGGCTGAGGGAGCTGGGATTGTTCAGTCTGGAGAAGAGGAGGCTCAGGGGAGACCTTATTGCTCTTTACAGTGACCTGAAAGGAGGTTGTGACGAAGTGGGAGTCAGCCTCTTCTCCCATGTTACTAGCAATAGGACAAGCCTCAACTTGTGCCAGGGAAGATTCAGGTTAGATAATAGGAAAAATTTCTTCTCCAAAGGAGTGGTCAGATGCTGGAATGGGATGGCCAAGGAGGTGGTTGGGTCACCATCCCTGGAGGTGTTCAAGAGGCATTTGGATGTTGTACTGAGGGACATGGTTTAGTGGGGAAATACTGGTGGTATGTGGATGGTTGGACTGGGTGATCTTGGATATCTTTTCCAATCTTGGTGATTCTATGATTCCACAAATCTTTATTTTATTAATTCAGAAATAGTTGAATATTTGAAGTCCTTCATAAGAACTGTAGGCTATGGCAGTGTTTTGCTGTCAACTGAAATATGAATAGAAAGTTTGATAGTCATGTTTCTTCCTCTTCATTGAGGAAAGTGACACAGGTTTCCTGCACTAAGCAGTGTGCTGTTTTAAATATAGAAGAATTAAATACATGTTAATGAACACATCCCCACACACGCACATGCTTTAGGCATAGTTATTGTGTTACCTGCTGAGTGAGTTCCTAGTAAGAGCTCCTTGGAGATTTTGTGTTAGCAGAGATTTGGCATCTTGCAACAGAAGTGGGACGATGGCAATTTTTGAGAATGTAGGAATGAGGGATGGCAGTCAGTAAGGCGATGCTGGCAGCCATACCACATAACACAGCTTTGTGTGCCACGGCTGCACCTGGGCCTGCTGAAGGCCTCAGCAGATGACAGTGGACAGCTGGACCCTTTCCTGAGTGTAAGCAACAATTATGAGATGCTTTTGGGTCCAGAAACCTGGTCTTTACCTGGTATATTTCCTTTATTTTTTCAGATGAGCAGCAGCTCAGAAGAGCTGGGTTCATCTCTCCAGATCAAAGCATTGCTTTTCATTTCAAAAGAAATAGCTGAAAATGCATCACACCCACATAATAACAGGTACAAAATCACAGAATCACAGAACTGTAGGGGTTGGAAGGGACCTCCAGAGATCATCGAGTCCACCCCCCCTGCCAAAGCAGGATGCCTACACCAGGTCGCACAAGTAGGCGTCCAGGCGGGTCTTGAATATCTCCAGAGAAGGAGACTCCACAACCTCCCTGGGCAGCCTGTTCCAGTGCTCCGTCACCTCACTGTAAAGAAGTTCTTGTGCACATTTGTGCGGAACTTCCTATGCTCCAGTTTTCGGCCATTTCCCCTTGTCCTGTCTCCACCTACCACTGCCTCCATCATGTCACTTCAGCTCAGCTTTTTTGCCAGGGGCTTAAACGTGCTCTGTTCCTCCTTCACTGGCACAGCTGCTCAGAGAAGCTGTGGGTGCCCCATCCCTGGAGATGTTCAAGTCCAGGCGGGATGGGGCCCTGGGCAGCTGAGCTGGTGGAGGGCATCCCCCAGCCCACAGGCAGGGGGTTGGGATTGGATGTTCTCTGAGGTTCCTTCCAACCCAAATCATTCTGCGATTCTATGATACCTCTGATTTGGACTCCATCCTGTAAGGCTTGACTGAAAAAGCTGATCTAAAATGCACTTAATAGAGTCACTCTCTGTCACTATTTCTCCTGTAAATTCGGAAAGATGAGAGAATTTTCCATCTTTGACACAGCAAAAGCAACATAAGCACCCAGCTACGTGTATGGGTGCCATGGCAATCGAGCGGTACAAAAGTGAGTATGGGTGAAGTTTGCCCAACACTGAGCCCTTTCACAAACCAGATCATCGGGAGCTGGAATTCAGCTCAGCCAACACCGGGCCCCAACGGCCACACCTCCAGCTTTAGACCTAGAGCAAGTATTGCTTCAGATATTGCTTGCGCTGATATTCAGGCACGCACACGCACACCGAGTTCATTCAGCTCCGTGCTTTACAAACCTTCTCCCCCACGCAAACAGCGCGCCCGACGCACGGAACGCTCCGCTCTCCGCTACCACCGCCCGCCGCGGGCCGCTCGGAGATAACGGGGAGCGCTCCTCCCGGGCGGCGCTGCCGTCCCGCGGTGACTCACGGCGCTGCACCGGGGCCGCGCAGCCGGAGCGGCCGCTGACTCATCCCGCGCGGTGCCGGGCGCGGGTCTGACTCATGCGGCTCCCGCCGGAGCGGGTTGCGGTGCGGTGCGCTGAAGGCTGCGCGGGATGAGTCACCGGGGGGCAGAGACTGACGCTGAGCTCTTATCGCTGCCCACCGTCGCGATTCGCTTCGGGTCGCGCTACGACGCTCCGCTCTGAGTACCGGACTCGGCATCCCGCACCGCCACTTCAGCCCGGACACTTTGTGGATACATCCATCCTTTGCATCACGCGGCGGCTCCGTGGGCAGAACGCTCTCTCAAAGATGAGGGCACCGCGCTGCTCCCCAGCGCGAAGGATTCTCGCAGTGCTTCCCGCCGCCCGCTCGGGACAACAAGTGGGCGGCCATTCAGAGGGACGGACTTTTGGAAGCGGGGACACGGGGAGAGACCCCAGGCCCCGGGAAAGTGCCGAACAGCCGGGAACGGGCGCGGTGCTCCGCCCCGGGGCACGGTAAGCACCGCAGCGGTGGTGCTCCCGAGATGTGGGACCCAGAGCGAGGGCAGGGATGGACGGGGATAGGTGGGATGCTCTCGTCCCGGAGCACCCCGCACGCCCCGCTACAGCACGCGGTTGGCTCGGACACACCCTTCGTTGTTCCGAGCTGAGGGCGGCGCTGTGGCCCCGGTGCCCCGCACGGAGGGGCTGCGGGTTCGGAACCCGCACGGGGCACCGCGGCACGGCGCGGAACGTTCGGATCGCGCATTTTTCAACAGCCAAAATGAAATGACGGAGCGGTCGCGCCAAGCACATTGCGTCGCTAGTAAATTACTGCAATTCCCACCGGCGTGTACCGAGATAATCTCATTCAGTATTTGCGGCCGTGCCTCACTCTCACCACCTGCAGCCTCCTCCCGACGGCGGTGCCAATGACGACGGAGGTCGAGACCCGCAGAGGGGCGGCGGGGAGTGATGTTACCGCACGTGAGGAGGGGAGCCCGCGATGCCGGCGTGAGGACCGCAGGCTCCGGGGCAAGGCAGCCCCCGCCCTGCCCCGTCCCGTCCCGTCCCGCCGCGGGACCGAGCGCTACTTACGGTGTCGGCGGCGGTGGGGACCCGTGGGGCGGCAGTGCCCGCTCCCACTCCCGTTGCCGGCCCGGCAGATGCGCGCTCTCCGCCCGGGGACGGCGGCTCCGCGGCCCTGCGCATGCGCCCCTCGCCGGCCGGAGCCGCTCTGCGAGGACGGGGGAGCAGAGCGAGGCGGGCAGTGGGCGCCCGGCGGGGAGAAGTGCCGGAGGGAGCAGGTGCGCGTGTGCGTGCGCTCGGGGGAGGTAGGTGGGAAGGGCCGGAGGGGGAGGCGATGCAGCCACGGGGCTCGCACGGCTGCTTTGGTTTTCAGAGATGCCCTATATGAGAGCCGCGTTTGTACAAAGCGGGAACGGAGCACGCCCGCACGTTAAGTACCAGCAGGGATACGTCCTCCCGCCCGCCCCCTCTGCCCGTCGCTTACGGCGCGGCACCTCCGGGACACGGCGTTACCTGGGGCTGCCGGGCAGGAGCCGCCCCTTCACCCGCGTGCGGGCTACCCCGGGGCCGCGCCGTCGGGGCCGCTCCTTCCCTGCTCACGGTGCTGCGGAGTCCGGAGCCGGCTGGGGGACGTGGGAGGACGGCGGCTTCCCCGCGGCGGATAGGGAGGAGGAGGAGGATGGGGCGGAGGCGGCCCCGAGCGGTACTCACGGCGCCGGGAGTCTGTAGGGCAGCGCGGGGCTGCGGCGGCGCGGCTCCGTGGCACGCCGGGCATCTCCGGCGCTCCGGGGAGGGGCGGCGGTGGGGCGGTGGCAGCGGTGGGGCGAGGAGGGGGGTTGCCGAGGGAGGCAGAGCCCAGCGTCTACGCAGGAGGGCGGCGAGCGGGCAGCGGGGAGCCGTGCCGCCGGGGGCCGGCAGAGCCGCCAGAACCAGGGGGCCGAGGCGGAGCCCCGGGGCGTCTCGACGGGGCGCGCAGACGAAGCGCAGGCGGGGCCGGTGGGAGGGGAGCTGCGGGCGGAGGAAGGGGCTGGAGAACAGCGCTGAGAGCGGGGAAAGGAGCCCGGCGGCCCGCGGGGGCTGCGGGGTGGTGGAGTGGGAGCGGGAGGGGGAGAGAGAGAAAGAGAAAGAGAGAGAAAAGACGTGATAAAATAAACAGCCTTGGGGGTTCCTTCCAGCTCAGGATATTCTATGATTCTGTGACCCGCGTAAAGGAAGAAAACCGAGCAGTAAAATAAGCACGAGCAAAGCGCTGAGGCACGAGTCACCACGGTAGGACGCTGTCCAGGGTGCTGAACACGCTCGGCTCCAGCTCGGGGCTGCCCTGGTGCTCAGAGAAGCCGCTCCTGTTTCCCAGCAGTATATCAATACGATCTTCCCCTTTCCCAGCAAAATTGCAAGGTCCCGGAGGGGAGGAAGTCACCCTACTAGAGTACGAGCCCAGAATCGGAAGATGCAGAAATTACTCACGCCATTCAGATACTGCCTCCCTTTTCTCTAGCTGCAATTTCTGTCTTTTCCAATTCTGGGCTCGTTTTATTTACAGCCTTTCTACCTTCCCCTTTTCTGGCCCACAGCCATTTGTCTTGGCATCAAAGAGAAAGAGAGGAAGTGAGGCCTGCCTAGTGTGAAGACAGCCTTCCCTGCGGTGGTGTGCTCTCCCCCAAGGCCTACACCATTGTCACAACACTATTGGTGTGAGGAAAAGAGGCTTGCCTGAGTTGAGGCTGCAGGGAAGCTGCCATTCTGGCACACATGGAGTCTGCTGTTGCTTGGCAGCACAGGGAGCTCCCTTAGGTCTACTCAGAGGGGTGAGCTAGGAAGCTGGACAATGTTCCCAGGAGAGAGGAGACAATAGAAAGAACATTTCTACTGCATGGTGGTGAGAAGGTCTTCTGGAAATCTCTGCCCTTTTTGTTGTGGCACAAAGCATGTGACTGGGATGTTTAATACATTTCGGTATTGAATTACAGTTGTCATGGCCTGTTCAGGACCTATGGAGAGCCTCCAGTTCTCAGCTGTTCTGCAGGGTAGGCTCAGGGCAGTAAGCTGGAATGAGTTTCCTAAGCCCCCTCTACACCAGAGCCATTTCAACAAGGGCACAATGTAACCCTATGGGAGGTATGGTCTCAGTCTGTTTCTCTTGGGGAAGGAGGGTCATGATCAACTAGCACCTAATTAAAGATGGCCAGTTTCTTCAACATGAATAGCAATAGTGAATAGAGTTGGTACAAATAGGCATTTTCCTCTCCTTTCTCCTTGACTAATGATTGCAGGCTAATGTTCGGCTGCATAAGGCAGGGTGATGTAAACAAACTTATTTAAAAAGAAGCTTAAAGATGAGGGACTTCAAAAGTTGAGATACAAAGATTCATTCCCTTTTTTTTTTTTTGCCTAAAATGAGTTCAAGCATGCATTTTTCATGTGCTTATGGGAAGGCAATTCCCTTGGACATCAGAGAAACTTGAGCTGTATGTGCACCTCTGTGACTACACACCCAGTCTCCACTGCTGTATCACTTCTACAGGTTAATTCTACTTCACTAGGACACAGAGAAGGCAAAATGTGTAGACCTCGTCAACATATTTGTGAGTCCTGCATCTGGGTCTTGGTTGTGTGCTGGAAAACACGTCACAGAAAATTGACCGTTTACACATGAACTCTGTATTTCATAAAATCACCTCCTAATCCCACACACTTGCACCTCTTTGTAACACACATGATAAATATTAATATTGATGTTATCTATTACTATATAAGGCATTATAAATAAATACATCCTTATTAGACTCTCATGAACAATTGTGGAAGGAGCCTGCAATTATTACCACAAATCTGAACTGTAACTTTTAAAAAACTTGTTACCATTGAAAATGTTAAGATCATGTTATAATAAAGGCAATATAGAATGTGCATCCATATTTTAATAACATTATTATATTTCAGCATTCTGTCAACCAGACTTAATGCCATATAATGACATAATGCCAAAAGCTTTTATTTATTGGCTTGCTTTACTTTAAGGTTCTAGGACAGACTGTGGGCCTCACTCCTCAACTCCCTCTCCTTGCCCTCGGAGAGCTTTTGCACAATTTCAGATGAAAGAACAGGTAGCCTGGCTGCTTTATGTGTACCAATCTATTTTGCTGTTTCCTGCTCACTTAAATTGTTAAGTAGAGATTTTCTAGACTGTTGAGTAGAGCTGATTCATAGTACATTAGGGAGCAATTCAAACAGAGGTAAGGAGCCATGTTTGCCTGTTTTCATTGACATGAAAGTGCCTTTGCCACAAATTACTCTGAGGCTTTTTTGAGAAAGGAGATATTTTCAGAAGTAAAATGACTTTACTTGAACTTCGTAGGTTTTTTGTTTGTTTATTTTTGTTTGTTTGTTAATATCAGCAATATTCTAATATTTATTTTATTCATTAATGAAAACCTAAGATGTGAATATATATTTAGAATCTTAAAAGATGTATTTGAATTAACCATATTTTGTAGTGAGCCTGTTGCAAATGATATTCTGGGAAATGACTTGAACTTGTAGCTATTATCGTTCTTTCAGCATTAGTTACTTACAGGTGAAAGCAGCTTTCCTTAATGGAGCCATTAGTAGTTGATTTCAAACAGACTTAGGTTCAAGGCTGATGGGAGGCAGAATAAACCAGAGTCTTACAGGACGTAAAACAAGCTATACAGCTGCATAGAGCAGTCCACAGAGAAAACTTACCCTACATGCAGTGCCTACATGTTAATGCTTGATTTTTTCACAAACATTAATGGAAATGCATTCATTTTTCAGCCAAATTTATTTTGTATTGTGAAATTCACACTGGGAAGAAATTCTTCCTATGGTTATTTCATTTACACTGTCGAAGTGTAACTGTTCAGTAGGAGATATGTAAACCATGGAGTTTCTCTTACACTTTTACTGGTGCTGTGCTAAAACTTGTGGTAGCATTGTTAGGTGACTGTATTAACTCATGTTTGAAAAGTTATTGTGATAATTGTGATACTGTGATTGTTACACTTGCTTAGATCTCAGTGCAGCCAGAATTGTTTGCTATCGATGGCTCTGCTGAGAACTTTGCTGATTATTATGGCTCCATAAGGTAGTTTTCCAGGGTGATGTGCTGTCACAAGGTTGGCTAAGACTCTGTGCACGTTCTGCCAAAACAATCAAGCTCTATTTTTTTCTGCTATATAATGATTATTTTTATGTACTTGTCTGCCAAAATTGCACCTCATTACTTGAAGATGTGTCTCTGTATGCAGTTGACATCCGAACCTATAGTGACTGTTTTGTTTTAGATAGTGGTGAAAAACATTTCTCCAGATATGTCAGAGACACTCTTTGGAAACTAAAGAGTCAATCCACAGCTGGTGTGAATCACAGATCTATTGAGTTCTGTGGATCTCCGAGTATTTCTATCAGTCAGCGCCTACTCTGAAGTCTCAGGAAGTCTGGAAATCAGCCTCTGCTGTCTCCACTCACAACCCTGCTCCTTTTCCACTCCTACATATCACATTTTTGTTATTTCTAAGGATGAGGCAGCTTAAGGAGAAAACATTTTTGAGCCGGAATTGAATATTAGAAATAAGGAGTGGCTTTCCAGTGATAAGAGTGAGTGCTGCGTTTTACAGCATCATTTAGCCAGGGATGGCTCTGCTCCTGTTGTGGCTCCCATCCAGTTGACACTTGCAGGCACCACAGGGTGTGCGAGCCCTTCTACTGAGGTCTGGGGCACAGCCCATGTGCTGAAAAACCTCGTTGACTCAAGAGTTGCTGGCAGATTGACAGGCAGACTATACAGGGAGCTGGTGGCTTGGGCAAAGAGGATCTCATTACAGATTACAATATGACATATGCAAAAATGAAATTTCTGCTGAAGTAGGACTGCATTAAGAAACTATGCCATTCATTTAGTTTGCTGCGTTAGGCCAATTGATGTCCCAGTGTATTTTGTCTGACCCTCTTCCCTTATCTGTGTGAATAAGTAGTGAACAATGAAATGTTAATAGCATTTTTTTTTAAATCATGAGTTTAACATGCATTTCTAATTCTATCCTACTTTTTTTTTTTTTTTTTTTTTTTTCTTTGCATAAACATTTGAATTATTTGTAATCATTAAAACCCCTACAGTATGGAGTTGACTTTTGAGGAAAACTCTCCCATCAGGACGATGT